CCGAAGAGGCAGGCAGCCAGAGAGGAGCCCAGGCCAGGTGCAGCGCCGCTCCCGTTCATCCTGGCCCCACTGCTCCTGCCAACACCGCTCTCGGTAGCATGCTGCCGCAGAGGCAGGAGAGGCTCGTGCCGCTGCAGCTGCGCACACCAGCCGTGAGCCCGGTGTTTGGCACGCCTCAGTCAGCTGAGCAATACTCCTGCTGTGGGAATGCACTGACCACCAGGGGTCAGTTCCTGCATTGAGTGTCTGCCCCCTGGTGGTCACTGTGCATCATAACAACAGGTCTAACGGTCATTCGGTTGCTTAGGCTTTTATATATAGAGATATTATCACATCCAATTTCAAATGGTATTCATATGCACCATGTAAATCGTTCCAAATTTTCTTTAACTTTCTAACCATGTAAACAAATCTCTTGGCCACCAAGAGATATGCTTTAGATTTGGAATCCCAATATAAATAAACTAATAATTAAATTGGAGAAAAGAGACACATCTCATACAGAAGAATTTCAAATAATTTATATGTCTACTAACCCCTCAAGAATGTGGAGTATAATTCCCTACCACTTAACTGTGGGCTATGCTTTTTGATTGAATAACAGAGTAGTGTATAAAAAGGGGAGGGGCGGAGTTATTGGACAGTGGAGAGACATGGCAAATACTACCTTGGCCACTGGATACAGGTTAACTTCAGCAATAAGGTCATGTTGACAGCATGTACCTTGGATATGATACGATCTCATTGAAGGGCAGTTCACCTTTGTAATATTTGCCCCAAAACCCATAACCATAGTCTAACCATGTGAAAACATTAGATAAATCACAGTTGAGGGACATTCCACAAAATATCTGACAAGACTCCACGAACTGTTACAGTCACTAAAAATAATAATAATAATACATAAATAAAAGTCTGAGATTGTCACAGACAAAAGGAGCCTAAGAATGACTAAGTATAATGTATTATACCAGATGGATGCTGGAAGAAAAAAAGGACATTAGAAGAAAAGTGTGAAATTGGAACGAGGGTGGATTTTAGTTAATAGTAATGTCCCAACGTTGGTTCCTTATTTGTAGCAAATAGGAGAAACTAGATGAAAGGTATTCAAGAATGCTGCACTATTTTTGTAATTTTTCTGTAATATAAAATTATTCTAATATTACAATTTTATTTAAATTAAAAAATGATGATTAACATTGAGATATCAAGTTTAACAGAGTCCTATGCTTTAATCAATACATCCTTCTTTTTCACCCACACCTATCCACCAAACCAGTGGTCGGCAAACTGCGGCTCGTGAGCCACATGGGGCTCTTTGGCCCCTTGAGTGTGGCTCTTCCACAAAATACCACGTGCGGGCGTGCATGTACAGTGCGATTGAAACTTCGTGGCCCATGCGCAGAAGTCGGTATTTTGTGGAAGAGCCACAATCAAGGGGCCTCACGAGCCACAGTTTGCCGACCACTGCACCAAACCATATGGCATCAGGAGTCATTTCCCTGACGCATAGGAATACTTTACCTTTCAGGACCCTATAGTATGAATGGAGTCAGACCAATTCCGAGAGTTTTAGATTTCCCAATAATATTTAGGTCATGGCCTTAGTAATATGACACAGTACTCCAAAGATAATGTCCACGAGCCTGTATTTCTCAATAGCTTTAAAAGATGTTACATCCTTCCGCCATCTAACCAATACACTAAAATTTCCTGTGAATGTTATTAATGACACAATTAATAGGACGATGCATTAATTTCAAAGGTAGCACATTCTTTGCTAGATTACAAAAGGCAATATTCATTTACTGATCAATTGTTGTCAGGAGAGGTAATGGGATAATGTCTGATGGGCCACTGTTTTAGAATAAGGATGAGATTATTTCTTTTCTACTTCCTATTTTTCCTTTATAATTATGAAAAATTAGGTTTTTCAGAATTTTAGATTTTTATACTGTTTTCAATTTATCATTTTACTTTGAGAAAGAGGAAGGAAGTGTTGGTGTCAATGAATGTTTAAAAAAATGTGGGGTTTCTTGTTAACAAGAAATGTGCTTTTATTAACATTTAATATAATTTTAAAAGTTAATTAACTAGAATAATAAATTGTCAGGATTGCCTCTCCAATTCCGTTTTTAGGAAAGGATGCAAATGCCATTTCTAAAAAGCTGGGGGGGGAAATACATGCAACTTCCTGCATATATTTTAGGGATAAAAATAGGATTCAGTAAGATCACTTGTACATTCCATACTTACAGTACTTTATAATGATCACTTGTTAAGGGGGAGAGGAAGTAACAACCATGATGCTTGATAATAGGAGGAAAAAAAGTGTTCCCTATGGAACTCGTAGCAAAGGAGCTGCAGAAGAGTCAACTAGCATATTTTAGGAATATTTTTCACTATGAGGTAGTGCTTAATATGGAAAATAATAATGGGTGGGAGGGATATGCAATAAATGTAGGTAGCTATTTTTTATATTACCCTTTAAAAAGTTCAGTTAATTCATATTTTGCATTTCATTAGACCTTGGTATATGTGTGGTTAGTACTGAGAATTATAACTGTTCCCTTTCCTTGAACACTGATAATGTGTTCAGCTTTGTACTGCCAGGCCTTTGATATGCACCATCTAAAAGCACAACCCTGCAAGGTGCATACAATTACTGTTTAACCGGCAAGGGAACCAAGGACACCAGAAGTTAGGAGACTGACTCAAGGGCCCACAGCTTGTAAACGAGGGAGTCACTATAAACTGCCTGCCTCAAGTGCCTGAACCCTATCCCACCACAGCATACAGCTTTCTTACAAGTTATATACCTTTATTAACACTATTCAAATAAATGTGTCTCAATAATGAGTGGACTTAAGTCATTTAACCTTTCTAGGCTTCAAGTTTCTCTTGGGTTAGATGGAGTTGACTTCTGTTTTCCTCCAGTTTTAAAAAAGGAACATGATTTGTATACAGATGAGAACATTAAAATGTCCATTTCCACATGTTTTTATTAATAATGGGTTATTAACACTGAGCTTATTAAATCTTGTGATGGGATCTTTCTAGAGATGTTCATGTGATTTCTCTCAAATCCTTCAGTCCTGCCAGAATTAGTGAGTGATCTTACCATTTTCAATGTTATTCCTTAAGACTTACATGTCAGAGGAAACTTCATACTTTTCTCTGCAATATACAAACTATTTACTTAAATATTTGTTTTCTAAAGAATCAATGACTTTCAGACATGAATAATGCGAAGAAAATCAGTTTTTGGATCTGAAATTAATCAAAATATCAGTTTATTTTTATTCATACTTATTCAAATATAACAAATTTTTTAACAAATGAAAATATATACAAGCATATTTATAATACGATAGACATAAATATAAATAAAATGTGTATTTGAGACAAAGTTTAATACGTATATTAGTAAATTGATGACATGCTTACATTTAGCTTTAAGACATATTAACATGGATATTAAAAAGGATGGGCTTTCACAAAATCTGCTATAAAATGTTCACATTTGTGTTAGTAATAAGTCATATTTCTTAGACTGATGTTTTAAGAAAACTATGTCAAGATCTAATTTAACCATTTACCTCATATGGTAACATTATTTGTAAATGACACATTTTTTTTCAATAGAAATGCTCTTTTATCTTTTAAATAACATAGCATTTTTTATCAAGAACATGCCACATTTATTAAACAAACATGCACAACACATTAAAATTTGAATAATTTATGTACCTTTATGCACAGTGTTCAGTTTTGCTATAGCACTCTATCTTTGTGAAAAATATTCTAAATATTTGGCACAGAATAAATTGTACTATTCAGAACTAATGTGATTAAAATTTTACATGGCACAGAAAACGCTCTATCACAGTTTATCTCTTCCTTTGCAGTTTATTGACCAATGGCCGTTCTTTTCTGTTTTAGTTGGAATAAATAATGGATATCCAATAGCTAAAAGTCCTATCTAGGTGTTTTGCCTATACCAGTGATGGTGAACCTTTTGAGCTCGGCGTGTCAGCATTTTGAAAAACCCTAACTTAACTCTGGTGCCGTGTCACATATAGAAATTTTTTGATATTTGAAACCATAGTAAAACAAAGATTTATATTTTTGATATTTATTTTATATATTTAAATGCCATTTAACAAAGGAAAATCAACCAAAAAAATGAGTCTGCGGGTCACCTCTGACACGCGTGTCATAGGTTCACCATCACTGGCCTAGACTCTAATTAGAAATGAGTTGACTTCAGTTTTTCTAGCAGTAAAGCATTTCCATTTGTATTATGGCCAATAAATTTCTAACTAAGGGTGTTAGCGATAACGTATCATTATGAGATGTTTTTCTTTGGGAGGCAGAGATGTTGAAAGGAAATGCGGATCTCTTCCTGAACTGGGGCCCTGTGTGGTCAGGAGCTCGACGCCCTCTGAGGCAGAAGCAGGGAGAGTTCTTGGGGAAGCTGGTGAGGGAGCACACTCGGTAGAAGCATCCAGGCAAAAACAAAGGCAGGAACACACTCAAGGTGCAAAGGACTGCCCTGGGTGTAAGGAAACTGAATGCATCACTCAGAGAAATAGCAGCCAGAACATTCTTATGTTAGCAAAATCCCCCTGCTTTTTAGGAAAAGTTTTCCATTTCCACATCAGTGTCTATATCAAGAATGAAGAAATTAAGCTAACTGGCACAATTTTTTTGTCCCCTGAACTCATTCATAGACACAGGAAGAAGAAAGAATAATATGAACTCAAGCTTCCTCTAAACCAGAGAAGAGCATTCACACTCCCTCTCAGGGCAGACTTCAGACTTGTGGTAACCAAGGAAAATGCCATCGCTCTTTTTCACAGTTCTGCTAAGATCAACTTGAGGTGTTATATTTTGAGAGCCTGGTTGAAGGAATCTACTCCTTTCATAAAACTATGATAAAACTATGATTACCTAATTTTTATATTTATTATTTGGCGGAAAGGAAGTAGAACTTAAGCTCAATTTCTATACAAATGTACTTTATTCTGAAAAACAGAGCAATGAACATACTTTATGACCCTTGCTTTTCTGAGGGCATTTAGACAGTGAAATGGCAAAGAACATCAAACATGTTAAATACAATGGCAAAACTTTTGTTTTAAAGCTGTTAAGGTACAAATATAAAAACTATGAATCACAGAGCACTGAATTTTCAAGAGTAAAATCATACCAAAACCGCGATAAGTTTTCGCCGATGTCACAGGTGAGCAGGTGGTCTGGAAGGTCACTGATGGTGCCCTGCACGGCCAGCACGTGCGGGGCCAACGTGAAGGGCACGTCGCTCAGAAGCTCGGCCATGAACGAGCTGCTTTCCAGAGGCTGGCCTGCCTTGGTTTCCGCCCCGGGGCCTGCCACAGTCACAGTGGATGAGTTTTCTGTGCCAGTCTAAAAATACACATACATTCAAATCATTCAGACCTATGGCCTCGGGGGTTCAGTAATGGTAAATGTGGCATGAATGTAGCAAAATGGAGAAATGGGGGAACATGTAAGTATTCCCAGATCAGAATGTAGCTATTTGCTTTACTTGTACATAGAGCTCTACTAGCTTTAAAATGGATCCTAAACCCTACTCTTACCACCCATGACCCCCTCTTGCTATTTCTTTAGCCCAGGAATGTCTACAAAGTCTGTCTGCTCTGCCAAACGTGGTGTATGCTTTCAGGGCCTATAGAATTGCCAGATTACCTGTGAAACCATAGATCAACACAGTCCAAAGTAACTCTGCCCACTTCAGAACGATTATGGAGCGAACTGCCTAGGATATTATTTCGCATTTCCTATATATGTGTCCTTTCCAGTTGCTGTTTCACATGCATATGTCTTATCCCCAACTAGAGTTGAGGGTCCTTGAGAGCAGCAATCTAGTTGACATGTCTTTGTACTCTCTGCCTTGCATACTCAATTGTCTTATTCTAATACCTACCTGAGTTTACTTCTAATGTGTGTCATGCTTATTGACTGATTGTCTGACTTTCATAGGAACTGACATGTTACTTAAGTTATTAAGATATAAAGAGTTAGTAAACGATGCATATAGTAGTTTACTAAAAAACGTGCAGTAGGGTGTTCATAGCAGCATTCTATGCAAGCCCCCAAAGTGGAAACTAAGTTTCCATCAATAGTACAATGGATAAATTGAAGTATATTTACAGCAATGAGAATGAACCACCTGCCACTAAAAGTGGCTGAAACCAAAATAAAACCAGTTTAGGCAAAAATTTACTCTCCCACCACCACCTGGTCTCACACAGAATAAAACTCTGGAGTCTTTACAGAGGCCTACAAGGCCCTGGCAACCTGGCCCCAGCGCCTCACTGCCTCCTTGCTGTTGCTCCTGTGCACCCAGCCTGCTTCTGCCCCAGGCCTGTGCTTTCTAGTCCCGCTACCCAGGAGGTTCTGCTGCCAAATATCCATTGGGCCCCTTCTCCCACCTCCTTCCAAGTGTTGGTCCAAATGCCACCTTCTCAACAAGGCTTTCCTGGCCATCTTATTTAAACTGTGTCCTGCCCCCTCCTCTCCCCGCCAACACTCCCTATCTCCCTCCCCTGCTCTTTTACCTTACATGGCCCTTAGCACCGTGTTCTATGTCATATACTTTATCCTCATTATAATCCATCAGAAATATAAGGGGCTCCCTGCTGTATCCCAAAATGCCCAGACCAGTGCCTAGCGCTCAGTAAATATTTATTGGTTGGATGCGAGCAGACGAGATTTTGCCTGCGTGGGGTTTACATTATCAGGTTAAAATGCTGATAAATTCCTTATCTCTAAGTCTAGAGAAGAATGATTTTCTGTGTAAGAAATAATTTTGAAAAACTTTTTATGGAAGTGTAAAGTACATACAGAAAGGGTACATTAAAAGTTTACAGTTTGCTAATTTTAACCAACTTAGACACCTGTGAGCACCCAGAGCAAGGGACAGAAATGACAGCCCCCACCCCCACCCCCAGCGCTTTCTGTCACCATCCTGAATGCTAACAGCATAGATTGGTTTACCTATTTTTGTATTTAAATGAAGGTAATCCTATAGTATGAACTCTTGTTTCTGGCTTCTATATAGGAGATTCGTCCATATTGTTGCATGGGATAAAAAGAGCATATCGTCACAAAGGAGGTACATTCAGACTGATGACTTAACAGGATCACTTTGGTTGCCGTATTGACAGTAGGTAGTGGGGTCTGGCGGCCAGGAAAGGAAGTAGCAGGGAAAGAGAGATGACTGCATTGTGGATTAGGGTTGTGATAATCAAGGCGAGATGAACCATTGGACTTTGGATAGACTTTGAGGATAAGGCCAACAGGATTTACGGATGAAAAGGATGTGGGGTATGAGAGCAGAGTGGAGTCGGGATGAAGTCAGAGTTTTTGGCTTAAGCAGGAAGACCAAGAGTCCTGTTTTGGTCATTCCAGGTGCCTACCAGGCATCCAAGTGGAGCTGCTAATAGGCAGGAGGTATAATGCAAGTTGGAACTGGGGGGGAAGATCTGGTAGAGAAAGTCTTCTTGGTGCATGTTTAAAAGGGTATGGTCAGGCCTAGCCTGAGTGGTTCAGTGGTTGCACATTGACCTACGAACCAGGAGGTCATGGTTCAATTCCAGGTCAGATCACATACCCGGGTTGCGGATATACAGGAGGCAGCTGATCAATGGTTGTCTCTCATCATTAATGTTTCTCTCTCTCCCTCTCCCTTTCTCTGTGAAATCAATAAAAATACATTGTTTTAGAAAAAGGGTATGGTTGGAAAGAAAAGTGAAGACAAATATGAAAACAGACAGTTTTTTCAAAACATTGTGCCAAAAATGGGAAAAGAGATGTGGGACATGAGCTGGAAAGGAATGTGGGGTCGGTGAGGTTTCTCTTGATCTTATTTTCTGGTTTCTAAATTGGGAGAATAATTAGTCCATAGGCTAATGAGAAGAAGGTCATAAGAAAGGAAAAGGTAATGGAGATTCTGTAGAGGAGGAATTGCTATCTCATAGGCACCCCCAACACAGAGCAGAGGTCCGCAAGATTTATCTGAAGTTATCAAACACATCCCTATCCCATGGTCTTATACCTTGTGTGAAAATAAAACAGAGTGCTTTCTTAGGATTGCAAACAGAACAAAATTAAGTGCACTCTGTGATGACAATTATTAGAAAGGGCCATTGTGCAATGGACAGAACCTGCCTACTGAAACCTAACTGGGACTTAAATATCATTGAGTAATGATGCCACAGTTCCAGCCTCTCTAAAGGGCTTCCCCATATACAGTGTCACGATTGAGTATGCACAGGGCTTTGGTTACCTTGGAGCAGTATGGCTGAGCGTTTAAGAGCACAGGGCCCACAGTCAGACAGTGTGGGTGTAAACCCAAGGTCTCCTGCAAATGGCCTTGGGCAAGGTATTTAACTTCTTTGTGCCTCAGTTTCCTTAACTGTATAATGAGATCAATAATAATGCCTATTTCATAGGACTGTTATGAGGATTAAATAATGTTCGTGAGTAGAACAGTGCTTACCACATGTTACAGCTTTCGAATGTTAGCTCCCACTTGAAGTCTTGGATCCACTCATCTCTTTTGTTTTTGGCATTCACTGGTGGTTTGAATAATCTTACCACCTTCTTTATATCCTGCCTTCTATCTAATCTCAGGTGCAAATGTTCCCTGGGTCTGTTAATCTCATCCTATACTTGAACTTTCTTCTTCTTCCTGTATACAGAACATTCTCCAGTTTCATTAGCCAAATCACCTCCCTTCTTAAACAAAAGTATCCCTGAAACCTCACCTTCTCCACTAAAGCACTCTGCTGTCTAAACACACAACTTCTAAGGTTTAACTCCCAGCAGCAATATTTACTTATTTGTTCATGCCTTTATTAATCTTCTTCCTCTTCTCTTACAAATCATTCTTCCAGAACATAATTGAGGACAAGGCTATGTCTGTCTGTCTATCTATCCAAGCCAGGGGTCCTCAAATTTTTTAAACAGGGGGCAAGTTCACTGTCCCTCAGACCGCTGGAGGGCGGGACTATAGTTTAAAAAAAAACTATGAACAATTCCTATGCACACTGCACATATCTTATTTTGAAGTAAAAAAACAAAACGGGAACAAATACAATATTTGTATTTGCATGTGGCCCGCGGGCCGTAGTTTGAGGACCCCTGCTCTAAGCCTAAGCGACCAGCCGACCTGCCGACTGGCCGGTAGCTATAACATGCACTGACCACCAGGGGGCAGACACTCAACGCAGGAGCGGAAACTATAGGCATGGAAACATGGAACATACTGATGAATCTCAGAGGGAAGTGGGGAGGGCAGGGTGGGAGCAGATTAACTAAAGATCTTATATGCATACTAGAGGCCTGGTGCCTGAATCTGTGGGGTCCCTTGGCCTGGCCTGTGGGGATGGGGCTGAAAACAGCTTATCAACATCCCCCAAGGGATCCTGGATTTCGAGGGCGCAGGCCAGGCCTAGGGAGGTGAATGAATCCGTGCACTGGGCCTCTAGTATCTAGAATAGTGATGGCGAACCTATGACACGCGTGTCAGAGGTGACACGCAAACTCACTTTTTGGTTGATTTTTCTTTGTTAAATGGCATTTAAATATATAAAATAAATATCAAAAATATAAATCTTTGTTTTACTATGGTTGCAAATATCAAAAAATTTCTATGTGACACAGCACCAGAGTTAAGTTAGAGTTTTTCAAAATGCTGACACGCCGAGCTCAGAAGGTTCACCATCACTGGTCTAGAATAATAGGGGAATTGAGATGTGGCTCCCTGTTCCAGTTCTCCTTGATAAAACAGCCATATGACCAAAGGGGGTCACTTCATCCGCCTGGGCCTTAGTCCTCTACTCTGTGAAGTGAGTGGTGAGGGGCAAAAACTGTTGATGGCAGCCACTAGCATACGTCGAACACTCACTTTGTGCGGGGGTCCATCTAGGCTGGTTAAGTGTATTCCGTCATTTAAGTTTCATAGCTTCGTGGGGTGAGCACTGTTAGTCCCATGTTAAAAACAAGACACTGGGGCACAGAAAGGTTAAGGAAGTTGTTCCAGGTTACACAGCTCGTCTGTGGTAAGACTGAGAATCCAACCCAGTGACCTATAAAGCTCTAAGACATGTTACCTGCACACTTCTATGCTCTGGAGAGGTTGGCGGACTGGATGAACAAAGCCTTGAGAATTTAGGCAACAGCATTAGAGAATATGACCATTCCTACATAGCATACCTTGGCTTAAATGAGAAGAAAAACAGAGGAAAGGACAGAAACTCATTAAGGAGGCATATCTTAGACTGAAGGAGGATAGAAAAGCAACTGTAATTTAATAGAGATTTATCCCTGGAAATGAATCTACCAGTTTTCAGGGAGGGTAACACCATGGACAGTGAAAC